CTCTATCTTTTAGGGTCGCTATGTGTCAGAATGGACGCTTCATGGCAGGGAGTGAGCGGATTCAATCCAGAAAGGCCTTGAGATCTACTTCTGAAAATCAGTCTTTGAAAACCCAATGGAGCCCAGTCCTACTCTGACACACATGGGGTCACCGAGATTCAGAATCCCAATAATAACTGTTAATATTTGGGTATATGCCATTCCCATCTTTCTGTGTGGAGTGTGTGTGTGAGTGAGAGAGAGAACGTGTGAGAAGGGAAGTGTGAGAGACCTGTGTTTGGTGCATGTGCCCCAGTGTGTGTGTTTAGGGGAAATCACTCATACAGACAGGGAAGACCCATCGAGCCCTTAACTCTGCCCTGGCTGTCCCCTCTGAGTGTCTTGGTCTCTCTCTCTACAATGTCAAGTTTCTGTCCAAACATCACCTTGTTGGTAATGCCACCACTGCCCTTCCCCCAGTGCCTCATCCTGGCTCACTGTATGTAGGTTTTCAATAGCTATTTGTCGAATCAATGGTTGGGTATAGCAGGAAAAGGATGGACCCTGGGGACAGACCCACCTATATCCCCCATTTCCTCAGTGTGGATTTTAGCAAAGAAAGGAACCTCTCGGAACTTCAGTATTCTCTCTTCGGCAATTCTGGCTTAGTACGATTCATGTCGCAGAGATATTGGAAGGACTTAAGCAGTGGTGGGATTCAATAACTTTAACAACTAACTCAATGTCCTAATGATCGTTTTAAGTATAAAAAAATATACTAAGCGGTAGTATCTTATTTCATACAGTTAATACTTAAATAAGAACAATAAGAGAGGTATGCAAAATTAATTTATAAGAGTTTTAAAATATTAATGAAAAAATATTAAATATCTGACCAGATAAAACTGTTATTTCCATATTGCTTCTCAATTGACATTTTCACTTGCAATATTCTTCACTTTTATCTGAGCGTTACCAGCTGTGCAATTTATCCTTAACCATCTTTTCACTGAGGAGTAGGACTCCAGTCCTTTAGAGGGAGGTCAAGTAGACAATAGTCTATTGTGGTTGACATATTAGAATCAGGTGACTTCTCTTCTCTGAACATATTATGTTCATCTTTGAAAAACCCCTTTCCACTTCTGCTGAACTTACAGCGATTGTTCTGTCATTCTGTGAGCTCTTTGAACACTTTCAGGAATTGTATGATTCACTCATAAAATCTCGTAGGACTTTGGGGTGGAACACAAAGCTAAGACAAATGACAGTGTGTCACTCTCTAGTTTGGCAGTTTTTTCCCCTATGTTATATGTTTACTGAAGTAAAAAATGCAAGGGAATCAAGCTGTAGTATGGGTATGAATTTTATGAGATGAAAAGTATGACTTTTATGAAATAAATAAATATTACAAGTGTAGTTCCATCTAATTTTCTATACTTTACGACTGAATAAACATTACCATGGATTCTTAGAATATGCTGCTGTGCAGAGGCATGTTGAAATTTGTGATTTCTACCTTGGGCGACTGGCCACCCA